GCCAAATGCACCCTGGGAAGCAGGTGACGCTTTAGGTAGCTTAGCTCCCTAGCAGCCACATGGAAGAGCTGGAATGAGTTCCCGACTCCCACCTCAAGTCTGGCCCAGTCCTGGTAGGAGTAGGTGTTTGGGAAGCAAATCAGCACATAGAAGATTTGTCTACACTTTTCAAAAAAAAGATGTTTTATTTTAAAGTGGAAAGTATACGCCTGTGTGTCCTAATGTTGAACCTGAAAACTCCACCTGGTATTAAAGTACTAAGGGTAGAAAGAGGCTCTCATGGTTCCTCTTTTCTTGGGGCAAAGATTACAAAATACATTTCTGGGCAAAAGCAGAGAAAACGTCAAATTGTTTAAAATCCCGATATGGGTCTAACCCTGTGATTTGAGGCAGGAGAGAAGATCAGAATTTGGGGGGTGGCGGGGACGGATATACACAGCACTGAGCATTCTAACACAAAACAAAATGCCCAACCTTTAAAAAAATATTTACTTTTATTGGAAAGATTTAAGGAGAGAAGAGGAGACAGAGGTGGATTCTCCATCTGCTGGTTCACTCCCCCAAATGGCCCCAGCAGAGCCAGGTGCTTCCTCTGAGTCTCCCATGTGAGGACAGGGGCCCAAGGGCTTAGGCCCTCCTCTGCTGCTTCCCCAGGCCATAAGCAGAGAGCTGGACGGGAAGTGCAGTATCCAGGACACAAACCTGTGTCCATATGGGATCCCAGCACTTGGAGGGGGAGGACTAGCTAAGAGAGCCACCATTGTATAGGGCCCTTTCAGCATTCTTCAAAAGCTACATCACACATTCATCCATTTTGTCCACATATTTCTCTTAAGCCTCTGGAACAGAACTTGCAGGGGCCCAAGGACTCAAGCCAAAAGCAGTGAGCCAGCTGGGAAGTAGAGCAGCCGGGACAGGAACCGGGGCCCACATGGGATGCGGGCACTTGAAGGTGGAGGCCCATGCCCTGTCTTCTGAAAGTAAGAATAAACCTTGGTTCGCCCCCCCCCCCCCCCCCCGCCCCACAGCAGCTGTTACTCCTCAAACGGTGAAGGTTATCAGAACGGAAAGGTGCAGCCAATTACAAAAAAAAAAAAAAAAAAAAGGAAGAAAAAAAGAAATTTCAGTGCCCATCACCCAAATGCTGTGAGTGCATCCGCCTAAATTTTGAGCAACACAATCCCTAAAAAAGAGAGGAGGAGGAGGGAGAGACTGGCGGATTTTAAGATTACCCACACGACCTGAATTTTGGGGACACTAAGCGCTGAGCGCTCCCCACGGAGGAGTGCGCTGGAAATTTTTTTTCTCACTGTTTCTGACCACTATAAAACTATAAACTGCGGTGGGCTTCATTTCAGGTCTTTACCTCGCTAGCCCGCCTCGCAGGCACCCCGCACCCGCACCCGCACGAAGGCCCGAAAGACAGCGCTGGGGGCGAGCACCGCGGCGAGGGGCAGCGTCCGCCCAGGGAAGCTGGCGGCCTCGCGGTGCACGGCCTGGTGTCCAGGAGCCGGCTCTCCGGCGGAGCCGCACGCCCCGGCGTCCAGCGGCCGGCCGTGCCGAGGGGCCGCACGCCCCGGCGTCCAGCTGCCACACACCCCGGCGTCCAGGGACCGGCCGTGCCGAGGGGCCGCACGCCCCGGCGTCCAGCTACCACACACCCCGGCGTCCAGGGACCGGCCGTGCCGAGGGGCCGCACGCCCCGGCGTCCAGGTACCACACACCCCGGCGTCCGGGGACCTGCCGTGCCGAGGGACCGCACGCCCCGGCGTCCAGTGGAGCCGCACGCCCCGACCAGGCCGCACGCCGCGCCGCGGCCCACAGCCCGTCCCCCGGAAGCCGCACGAGCTCAGGCGTCCCCACCGGCCACTCACCGCGACACCGGCAGCCCAGGAGCGCGGCCTCCCGGAGCTGGGGCTGTGGCATCGTCCCTCCCGCCGCAGCCGGGCAGGAGCCGCGAGGGCGGCGCTGCCCGGCGGGGAAAGGTGGCCGCCGCCGCCGCAGGCTCGCCCCGACTCGGGCCTCTCCTCCGCGGTGCGGAAGCTCCACCTCAGCGCGCCGCACCACGTGACCCCGCCCCGCGCCGCGCGCCGCCTGACGTCACCGGGGGCGCGCGAGCTCCGGCCTGAGGGACTGCTCTGAAGGAATCTCCGGAATTGGGTTTTGGGGTTCTGCTTTCACTTGACAGTTTGTTAGGGCCATGCTGGTGACGCCAGTACCCCATCTGGACGCTGGTTGGAGTCCTGGCTGCTCCGCCTCCAGTCCAGCCCCCTGCCTCCGTGTGCCCGGGCACAGCAGGTGCTGGCGACCCCAGTGCTTGCGTCTCTACGCTTGTAACCAACCCCGGAATAAACCAACCTATGGAAGGGCTCCGACTCTCTTTCTGTAACTCTGCCGTTATAAAAAAAAAAAATACTGAAAAAAAGAGGAGATACATGGCTTTATACACCTTTAGGAGGTGTTCATAATACGTGTATGTAAAGAAGTGTAGCGTAAACTAAGTGAATAAATGAACTTCAAAGCAGGTGACACTAAGCTGGACCTGAGGTTTAATGAAGAGAATGTGGAGTGGAACCTAGCCCTGCCTTCCTAGTGGAGTTTTTCTAGACATGGTCATCGCCTGCCATTTCTCCAACCCCGTGCCTTTTCTGGCTTATTGGCGGGTGGAGGGCTTCCCAAGGTGTGGAATTTGTCAGCTTTTCCCTGCGCCTTTATCAACACAGTGTGGTTAGTCAACTAAGACGTTACCACCTCTACCATCCACACCACCACGGACAGCAGGGTCGCCGTCCCCCCCCCCCACACACACACACAGGAGCAGAGGTTTCTCTAAACTGCCGCCCAGAGAGAGCCAGGGCCGCAGGTGAAGTGCCCCATAAGGGCTAATGTTGCGTGTGCATGTGGCAGCCAGCTTCCAAGGCATGCTTCCACTTTCCTCCTTCACTTGCATGAAATTCCTGCTTTACTTCCTGCCTAACAGCCCCTCGGTGTTGAGTGTGAAAGTCTGCAACTCACAGAGGAGGCTATGGACATTCCTGACAAGCTGATGCATTCATCTTAGGCCCAGGAATCCCACATTACATGCATAGTCATGAATATCTTTACATATATTATCATATAGTAATATATATTATAAAATAAATAATTATAAATATATAATATAGAAGAAATCTTAAATATATAACTAAATATATAAAATATATAATTATAAATTTGTAATATTGAAATAATATAATATATGAATAAATGACTCTTAAAATATATGTATATTTTTTATTGGAAAGTCAGATATACAGAGAGGAGGAGACACAGAGAGGAAGATTTTTCGTCTGATGATTCATTCCCCAAGTGGCTGCAACAGCCAGAGCTGAGCCAATCCGAAGCCAGGAGCCAGAAGCCTCTTCCGGGTCTCCTACAAGGGTGCAGGGTCCCAAAGCTTTGGGCCGTCCTCAACTGCTTTTCCAGGCCACAAGCAGAGAGCTGGATGAGAAACAGGGCTGCCAAGATTAGAACCAGCACCAAAATGGGATCTCGGTGCATGCAAGACGAGGACTTTAACTGATAGGCTACTGTGCTGGACCCAATGAATATCTTTTTTTTTTTTAAAGATTTATTTTTACTACAAAGTCGGATATACAGAGAGGAGGAAAGACAGAAAGATCTTCCACCTGCTAGTTCACTCCCCAAGTGAGGGCAACAGCCAGTGCTGTGCTGATCCGAAACCAGGATCCAGGAACTTCCTCCAGGTTTCCCACCCAGGTGCAGAGTCCCAATGCTTTGGGCCATCCTCGACTGCTTTCCCAGGCCACAAGCAGGAAGCTGGACTGGAAGTGGAGCTGCCGGAATTAGAACCAGCGTCCATATGGGCTCCTGGCGCATTCAAGGCGAGGACTTTAGCCACTAGACAGACCACCGCGCCGGGTCCCCAATGAATCTCTCAATAATTGATGTTTACATCTCAAAAAAATCAGTTTTAAAAACGTAAGGCCTTATTATTTCATGATGGAAATCTTATTTGGGAATTGTGCATTGTAAGGCGGGAGGATATCCACTAATCTTTATAAAGGACACATCGCAGCCACAGGAGCAGACTCTGGCAGACAGAACACATGATGACGCCTGCTTGAGGTGCCTGCACCCTGTGTCAAAGGGATCCCATCTCAGGTGCCCAGGTGGCTGTTGCGTGTATTTGAGATTGAGCCAGTAGGACTGAAGTATTCTCTCTCAACATATTCCTTCCCATGTTCTCTTTCTCTCTCTGTGAATTAAATCTCTCAGCTTCCTAGCCACTCTCAACAGATTGAATCCAACAGCAAATGGATCCATAACTATTTTTATTGTGATCCTAGCTAAACAGTTTTTAAGATTCGGATCGTAGATGAGCAATAAGATGTGCAACACTAAAAGCATCCTGGGAGCTGTTGGCCAGAGGCATGGGAGGAAACAGGTATGAAAAAGACAAACCACAAGTAGGGAGGAAAGAGTGTTTCCAAGCAAGCGAATGGTCAACAGGACCTAGAGATCAGAGCCAGGACAGCCAGGCCAGCACATCAGACATCAAAAATTCTAGAATCCAAGCAAGCAAGGCCTCAATATCAGAATTACCAGACTCTACATTGGTAGCAAGACAGGAGCTTGATATAAAGGCTCATTGAGATGGCCTACTAAGAAGACAACTGCACCACGTTGTAAGAGGTCAAGTTAGCAAAGGCTCCGAGAACAAAGCAGTCCCTGTGGTCAGCAGGCTAAGTGAGTCTTGGCCAAACATCGTGAGGCATGCACTGTACCCCCAGCCAACTATGTGACAGAATCATCGTGTAACGGCTTACATTTCTGACAAGCAAGGACCCGTCAGCCCAGAAATGCAATGACAGAAGAGCACCAAAGTACTGTGAATTGTGGTCAGAGGCATCATGTGGCTCTCTCTCTGGCATTTCACTTGATTCCATGGTGTTCTGACCTCCGTTCTCAGACGTCCCTATGTAGAAACACTAGGAGAATTTTTAAACCTTTATTAGTGAAAAGATTTTTCTTTCATTTTGCCTACAGATGCCTCCAATTCTGGGAAGACCGTATCCAGATACCACTGAAATGACTTGCAGCCCAGTCGCTTCTTTAATTCAATGCGCTCGCTAATGTTTCCAAAGGACATTGTTCGTAATCCAGGTCTGCGAAGAAAAACCTCCTCCTAAATGAAAACAACAAGTTTATTTCATTAATATTTGGTCATCAAACATGTATCTAATGCAGAAGTGATTCTTTTCTCATCATCTGAACTAAAAAATATATATATATTTCCTCTGTGTAAGAAACAAGCTGGAGACAGTAGGGCCCGTCTCCAGCGCACGTTCACTTTATGCGTATGGCTCTGCAACAGATGGGGAGCTGCGTGCGGGCAAGGCTGGGTCCTGTTTCTTGGGTTCTTCCCAAGAATCACTGTCCCCTACTACCGTCCCTCCCCCAACCCTTCCCACAGTATTCAAGGTCCCCTCCCTCCTGGGCACCCATGGGATGGCAGTGTCATGGGCAGAAGCTTTACACATCTGTGCCACAATATCATCTGAGACCAAACTCTTTTACACAAGCAAAGCCCTGAGCGAGGAGGCTGGTGTCGGTACATGTTATATCAATCATTGTGAATACAAAGGGTAGTTTTATACGTTCTCTGACCTAGGAAGCACTAAGAGTCAATGTCTGATTCTACCTGGTTCTCTCATGTGAGTGGCAGAAATCCAAGAACTTAAACCACCATCCACTGCCTCTCAGTTTGTGAATTAAGAAGAGGTTGGATTAGAAACACGGATGAGACTTGGCCTCAGGCTCTCCAGTATGTGATGTGGCATCACAAGCAATGGCTTAATGCACTGCATCACCACACCTGTCCCACTGCACTCCCAGTCCCCAGGGAAGCCTGGTGCAGGAGAGGGTCTGAGGGCGGGCGGCTGTCATCGCTTTGGAGGGCCTCAGGAAGCATCTCTTGATCGACGCCCTTTCTTGCGCCTGTCACTCAATGTGCCAACGTGCTGTGTGTCACACAAGCTATTGATATCATTCATACCTAAAATTACTATTTTAACTTTTGCATTCTATATTCTTTATGATTTTAATAACCCACTCAGAAATTGCTGTGCTCATTTTAACTGTCTAGATCCATGACCAGAATTCACATACACAAATCAGTAAATAAGAAATAAGCTTAAGATCTCTTGGAATAAAATACATGCATTATTAAAACAAGATCTATCATTTTAATCTATAGTTTCATTCCTTAATTATGGGGAAGGCAGGCATGTTGTGTCTGACAGTGGAGGACAATTCAAATAATAACTGTTAGGATTTAAGATGTACCAATGCATACTCCAGACCTCCACGTCTTGTGTAAAGGATGCTCACTTGAGCTTTGGGGTGTACTTGTCCAAAGCCCATCATCTCACAGCGCTGTACTGATTCCACTCCCTAGCACTCTACTTCCAACTAGCTCCTTGCTAATTTTTTGAAAAGGTAATAACCAAGTGGTCTCACATTTTCTAGTGTTGGTAATAACCAAGTGGTCTCACATGCCTGTGTTAGCAACACTTAAGCAATTCAGTGATTACTTCTGCGGGGTAGAAGTGTGGGTTTAAGAAACGTGCTTTTTATTTTATAATCTCCAGCACTTTTTAAAATGAGCGTGTTTTATTTTTTTTAAGTAACCCTTAAAATCAATAACAATAACATACAAAATCGCATAAAATGTAAATGGCATATCTTAGTGAACTACTGAAAAATCAGCCACAGTCATCTTGCCTAGGTTGAGAAGTGGAATATGGCCAGCATCCCAGAAGCCTCAATCTTCCCTTTCCAATTAGACTGACTATACAGGAGACCCAGATGGAGTTCCAGGCTCCTGGTTGCAGTCTGGCCCAGCCGCAGCCATTTGCAGACCTTTGGGGAGTGAACTAACAAATGGGAATGTCTGTCTCTCTCTCATCATTCCTCTCTCATCATAACTCTGTCTCAAATAAGTAAATGGATATCTTTTCTAAAAAAAATTACAGTGACAAAATGGATACTATTTATCTGTTGCACTCTTTTTTTTTCCCCTCTAAGATTTGCTTATTTTTATTTGAAAGACAGAGTTACAAAGAGGAGAAGGGACAGAGAGAGAAAGGTCTTACTACTGTTGCTTCACTCCACAAATGGCCACAAGGGCTGATGCAGAGCTAGTCCAAAGCCAGGAACCAGGAATCTCTTCTGGGTCTTCCACACAGGTGCAGAGGTGCAAGCATTTGGACCATCCTCTGTTGCTTTACCAGGTACAACAGCAGGGAGCTGGATTGAAAGTGGAGCATCCAAGACTTGAACTGGTGCCCATTTGGGATACCAGCACTACAGGTAGAGGCTTTACCTACTGCACCATTGCATTGGCCTCCCTTGTACTTCTTGATGAATACTCATCAAGATTTCGATTTTGGCTAACACAAGCAATGCTGTTTATTAACACCCATGTTTCCTGGCACACAAAAGCAGGTACACTGAATGAAATCGGCTGAGTGTAGGGTATTCATTAGTTTTGGTAGGTGTTGCCAAACTGTTTCCAAACATGAACTTGTAGAGGTCAGCACTGTGGCACAGAAAATTAAGAGGTTACCCATGATCCATGTTGAGGTCTATTTTAACCTTGTAGGTTGGGGCTTCCCTGAGGCTGATCATTGGCCCTGCATTTCTCTGCCTTTGGGGAATTGCCCAGTGAAGCCATAGTAGACTCTCGAAAGCAAATTGGGGAAGCAGACAAAAGGAATGCCTGCAACAAAGGGTGGTTATTACGGAAATTCTTGATATGGTGGTTGCAGGTTAATAACATGGGAACTAGTTCCTGACATGGAAACTAGATGCCTGGCACCTGCAACTTTGGATGAACGCACAGGGTCTAAAACACAAACCATTCATATGCACGACAACAACCAGGGCCCAGCATGGGTGGTTCAGTGCCTAAATCCTCGTCTTGCATGTACATGCCTGGATCCCATGTAGGCACCGGTTCATGTCCCGGCTGCTCCACTTCCTAGCTGCTCCACTTCTGTTTTAGCTTCCTGCTTGTGGCACTGGGAAAGCAGTCGAGGATGGCCCAAAGCCTTGGGACCCTGCACCCGTGTGGGAGACCTGGAAGAAGTTCCTGGCTCCTGGCTTTGGATTGGCTAAGCTCCGGCCATTGTGGCCGTTTGAGGAGTGAACCCAGTGGTTAGAATATCTTTCTCTCTGTAAATTTGCATTTCCAAGAAAAATAAGTATTTTTAAGTGAGCTTATGAAAATTAACATTTTTCAGCAGAAGTGTATGAGAAACCTTATTGTTCTCACCAGTATCAAACTTTAACATTTTTTGACAACCCAGTTGATATCTCATTGAGTTTTTAATTCACGTTCCTCTGAGTAAAAAAAAAAAAAAGAGTGCTCTACATTTCATAATTTTAATAATAATAATCTTAGCAATAAAACCCATGAAGATCAAGACATACCGTATCATATACCGTTTCAACGTATTTCTCTCCATCTGTCTTATTGGCCACCCTTTCTAGGTCCTGGCAAGGTGCTTAACCCTCGGGCAAATGCCCAAATGGAGGGCAGAGCTCTGGTTCCGCAGTTTTGAAATCTTTGACTATTCGTAGGAAAGAGGTAATGAAGGGTCCCAGACCAGTGGTGTCTGCAGCACTCAGGAACTTGCTAATGAAGGAACACAGGCTAAGGACTTGCGGGACTGGAGGACTGGGCCAGAGAGATTGTTTGCACAGTGAGAAGGTGCTGTATTTTAAAAGAAAAAGTACATGGAAGAGGGGGGGAAAAGCGAGTTCTCATGTGGGCTCATTTCCTTCCAGGAGATTCAAGTTTCCCTAAAAATAAAAAATCTTGAATATTAGATGCCCGTGTAGCACCTTAATTGGGAAAGGGATTGAGCTGGGGGAGGGTGGGTAGAGGGGCGAGTGGGGGGCTGTGGCTCTGGAAGGCCCCTGGAGCCCTCCCATGGCTTGCCAGGTCCCAGACGCGGGCCTGACCTTGTACTCATCCAGCCAGGTGTGCACCAGCCTCAGGTAGTTTCGCGAGATGGCTTGAATGAGGGTCATGTTGTTTTTAATAGTCTTCCTGTTGATGTGTCCTACTCGAGAGCAGGGGAGTATAAGCAGCTGGCCTCCACACATCCAGATCTAGACATAGGGAAAGGAAAAAAGTGTAAATGACTTTTGAAAAAAATTAAATTTTTAAAAGGTTTAAGAGAGGGAGAGGGAGGATGAGAATCTTTCATTTGCTGGTTTGACTTCCCAGATGACGGCAATGCCCGGTGCTGGACCAGACCGAATCCAGGAGCCAGGAGCTCCATCCAGGTCTCCTACATAGGTTGTCTTCCACTGCTTTTCCCGGGAACCTTAGCAGGGAGCTGGACTGCAAGCAGAGCAGCTGAGATTCGCCTGTGCCTCCGGTATGTCATGTCTCACCCTCACATCAGTCCGTTAAGACTCAGGTTTGTGTGTAGACACACATAGGCACATTCCGTTAGCATAGCTTGAGTCTCTTTCTACTGGATCTTACGTGAAACAATTTTTAAGTCTCACATTGGCTTGACCTGTTTTCAGTTTCCAATGATTCGCATTGTTGTTGTAAATAATGCCACGAAGAATGTGCTTTAGAATACAAATCTTGTGGGGCTGATGTGGTGGCATAGCTAGCTAATCCTCTGTCTGCAGTGCTGCCATCCCATAGAGGCACCGGTTTGCGTCTCTACTGCTCCACTTGCCATACAGCTCCCTGAAGATATGCCTGGGAAGGCAGCAGAGGGTGACTCAAGTCCTTGGGCCCCTGCACCCATGTGGGAGACCTGGCATAAGCTCCAGGCTCCTGGCTTCAGATCAGCTCAGCACCAGCTATTTGTGGCCATTTAGGGAATGAGCTAGTGTCTATAAAATCTACCTTTGAAATATAAATAAATAAATAAATATGTTTTTCTTAAAGGAGAATGGTTTTGCACGTCTAATGTTAGCATATTTGCCATGACACTTTAGTGGGCTCCCATCCAGCAGCAGCATCCCCTGGAAACAAAAATGCTGAACCAGCCAACCAAGGGATGGCGCCTGGCAATCTGTATCCTAACCAGCATTTTAGGTGATTCTGATTCACCACCAAGCCTTAGACTCACTAGTCTAATTGATCAAGACCACACATCCCACATTTAAAATTTTTTTCCTTAGAAAATCCACTGTTGTCTAATAATTTGGACAGTCGTGATAAGCAATTAAGACACTGATCCTAAAGATTTTGCTGAGATGTGTCACTCAGCCAGAAAATCAAAAAGTCAGTCCCAAGGGATTGCGTTAAAGAACATAGGAAGTAGTACTTCTGAAACAACATGGAGTCTAATGACCCGCTACTAGAAACCTGTGGCTTCCGTAGACAGAACCAGGGGACCCCCGTGGTCCAGCAAACTCTCCATCCAATTCCTGCTCCATCTTGTGTGGGATAGGAGGGCAGGGTGAGGCCGAAAGGCCCAAGAATTGCCTTCTTTCATCATCCCTGTTTATGTCAGATGGCCTGCCTCCTCCCTGGCTCTCCTCTCCTTCAGGAATGGGAACTAAATATTGAGTTAAGCTATCATTCTGGGGCCCTTCATTATGCAGCAAAGGCTGACAGATCCCAATAGTCTATAATGCTTTATTCTTTTTTGTAAGTGAAAATGGAAGAATATTTGACAAATGACTGATATCCATTCTAATCACTCGGATGGGCAGTAACCATAGTGTCCAGCTCACAGGCTGAAAAATCCAATGTGGATAGAAAGCTCATGAGTATCACATTTAAGAGGTGAGAAGCGCAGAAATTCCTGTGAAAGAAATGGAAACGACTGGGCAGCAGAAGGGGGGAAACTGGGATGTTGTTTTACACCCTGAGGAGACGCCTGCAAATGTCATGTGCCACACTGCCGTCCTGCAGATGAGAGACAGAAAGCGCTCCATGAAGACCACTCATATGAACCGGTGGCAGTTCCTGGAATGATATCTCAAGATGACAAGGGTCTTATAGGATGCTAATTGAAATAGAGAGTAAATGGGGTATAGGGAGCGGGGAGGAGGCACAATGGCATAGTGTGTTAAGTCTCTGTTTACAATCCTGGCATCCCTTATTGGAGTGCCAGTTCCAGTCCTGGTTGCTCCCTGCTGATGTGCCAAGGGAAGCAGCAGAGGATGGTCCAGGTGCTTGGTTCCCTGCCATGGCTTAGACTGCAGCTGGGGCACCACTTGCATGCCGTATCAGAGGGCTAGAGAGTCAAGTGCTGCTGCTGATCCAGCTTCCTGCAAGGCAGCAGGTATGGCCCAGGTATCTGGGTTCTTCCCACTAATATGGGAGACTTGGATGGAGTATGGTTCCTGGCTTTAGCCTGGCCTCGTCCCAGCTATTATTGGTGTTTGGGGAGTGAACCAGAAAGAATTATCTCTCTCTTCATCTCTATCTTCTCTCTTTGTCACATTGTCGTTTAAATAAAGTAATAAAAATTTTAAAACAGTAAATGAGATGTGAAAATATATGTGTATAGCTTATGCCTTTTTTGGGAAAGACACAGTTACTTGTCATGCTTAGAGACAGCTGCCAGGGTCAAGGGAGTGCTTTAGCTTTCATCAATTTCCCTATTTATGAAAAGAGGAGGCATACCTGGCAAGATGAAGGGGACTTGAAGAAAGGGACAGTTGCGAATATTGGAGTAAAATTAATTAATATGTTCTGGAAAGCAAGTTAGTTGTCACGTAGGGTCAGAAAAAGGAACACCCACACTTTTCAAAATTGTGTACATCAATCACAAAATTTAGCCTGTTCTGAGAGATCGGTTATGCTTATTATGCTATTAAGTCTTTTAATAAGGAAACTCCTTATACAATATACTTAGAGAGCAATTGGACTAGCCAACAAGATAGAATAAAAAGTGCCAAAGTAAAAAAAAAGTGCCAAAGTCTTGGATATTGTGAAATATTGTCTGGTTGCTGGCACTTAGTGGGTAAAGCTGCCACCTGTGGCACCAGCCTTTAATGGGTGCATCAGCTCAAATACTGGCGTCCACATCTTAGGGTGAGGCTTAGCACCCCCTGGAGGTACCTGCTTCAAAAACAAAGTCCGTATTACCCTTAATGAAATTTCCAAATTTTCTCCTCCCCAAAGATTCATGTCCTTGTCGTATTGTCCAATTTTTTTAAAATAGCGTCTATCTATAGCAAAAATTCCTCCAGCCATGGCAGGTGATCTGGAAAGGAGACAGAAATATTAAACCAATTCCACAGATAGTCATTACGGAGTATTCTAAAAAATCGCAAATATTAATGACAATTTATAGTCAATGGCAACCATATGAATAGTAGGCTTACCTTCATACACATTTCAGAATATAAAAATCCTAAATTAAAACAACAAGTAATTGTAGGCAAAAACTTTTCCCTAGCTGTCATAAAATTATGCAAGTAATATATTCAGATGTTGTCTTGATGGGCAGGAAAATTATTTAGAATATGAGTTTCCTATAAGAACAACTGAATTAGGCGATAGGGTTTAGAATTCTCCCTTTCTAAGGTCATTAAATGGATTGTAATATTTGCCTCTGGGGCACCTACTTTTAGTCCACCAATAATTACAGGATCCAAAGCTACCAAACCAAATACTTAAAGTACAAATCAATAAAATTTACATTTTTGTTTACAAACATATTTACTGCGTACCTATAATGTGTTATGGATAAATTAGTGAATGAACAGGGAAAGACAGACCCCAGCTGTGCAGGGGCGACAATCAAAGTGAACAGATTAGTTAGACTTTGTTGCAATGATCCCAGAGAATAATGGAATTCAGGCAGGCAGTGGCATGTGGCTAAACTATTGATGTAGTTGGAAGATAGATTTAACCTCTTGGCTTATGGTCTGGGATGTGAAGTGTTGGAGCGAGGGAAAAATCAAAGTTGACTACAGCTTTTTGTCCTGAACATTTGGTTGATGCAGTTGCTCTCCACCGAGAAAGAAAATCCCCTGGGTGGAGGAGGCTGTGGCAGGAGGATGCAATTTTGGATTTCCTGGAGATGTCTGTTTATCAGGCACCTGGAGATGCCAAGTGGGTGGCTGGTTGCAGGAAGGTCCTGGCTGTGGTCACACACTGAGCTATCCAGCTGTTTACAGATGAGAGATGCAAGAGTTAGGGGAGGGAATTAAAAGAGCTAACACCTGTATAGTCATTTAATTTCAAAACAGCACAGTGAAGTGTTACTGTTCTCCAGACTTGAAAGGCAGAAAAGTACAGAGAAGAAATTGTACAGAACCATACAGCTCTGGCTAAATCAGGAGAGAAGTAAAGACGAAGGACCAAGTTATGTTGTTGGGAAATGAATTTATATAGTTTGCAAAGCAAAGAGGCTAACTGTGAGGGAAAAAAAAATGAACCTGGAAGTGGTGATATCACAGCATAGTGTTAAGCTGCTGTGTACCATACCCACAGGGGTTGATTGAACCGTATTAGAATCAGGCACTCCTAGTCCCAGCTACCCCACTTTTTATCCAGCTTCCTGCTAATGCGCTCGGGAAGGCAGCAAATGATGACTCAAGCCCTTGAGTCCTTGCCACTCACTGGATGGCTTCAACTTATCCTCGTCCTGGATTTGGGGAATGATTCATCAGAAAGAAGAGCTCTTTCTGTCTCCCCAGCCTTGATCTTACCACTGTGGTTTTTTTTTTTAAATAGTAAATAAATAAGTACATCTTTTAGAAAATGTATCAATACATGTGAGGAGTTGTCTGGAGGACACTTCTTTGCAAACAGCCTTGTAAATGTAGTAAAAGTCACAGCTTCGAACAATGAACTGACTTAAAAGCAAATTCAACGGTTCTTGTACCTAGAAATATAGTTTTCTAGGCTATTTATCTAGGAAACACTTGAGTAAATACATCCTATGTATGAATTTCACACACATATCTGTTTCTCCAAGGCTATCCAGGTTGCTGGCATTATTTCTCATTGATCAACGAAAGATTTGCTTTCAAGAAGGAGGTCCATATTCTAAATATATACACCTGACATTACAGGAGTCCTTCTTAAACGCTGTGGCTTTCAGAATAGGAAATACACATTTCAATGGTACATATTTAACATCTACCAAATTCTATTATTGAAGACTTTGAGAAGCAAATACAAAAATAAGCTATGTCTCTTCATTAAACCCAAGAAATTGAAAACTTTTTTTTTTTAGTGTCCTATTATATCCCCATAATCAGAACACTCACCGGATTGGGCTAGTAGGTCCTTCTGGGCCATCCATCTCATAAGAGAAAACTTTGTCCCACTTAAATTTCAGCGCCCAGTCAAAAGCCCCCCTCACAATGGGAGAGGGCTTATATTCCATGGTGAATTCATCAATAACGTCTATTACAGGGCACACCACCGTGCTTGAGTCCTTGGCAATGACAGACAGCAGGGGCTCCAGCCAGCCTCTGTTCACCTCACAGTGGCTGTCCAGGAACACTAGAACATCCCCTGCAGAGGGTAAGCAAGCCAACATTAGTCCACATAAGCAAAATACATGACAATCCAAGTTTATTGCAATATGTATTTGTTGTACATTTCATGTTTTTGGATGTTAAAGTGCTTTAGTTTTCTTGCATAGGAACTTGTAAAAGACTTTTTTTTAATGTACAAAAATTGTCAGTGCACCATCTATGTTCAGAAGGCACTGGTGAATTAATTGTCAGTATTTTGGGACAAATTCTAAACAAACAGGTGGAGGTGCTGTTCAACAGAGTAATACTCCATCTTAAAGTGCCGGTATCTCATAGAGTTGTTGGCTCACGTCCTGGCTGCTCCACTTCCCATTCAGTTCCCTACTTATGCCCTAGGAAAGCAATGGACGATGGCCTTTGGAACCCTGCACTTATGTGGGGGACTCAGAAGAAACTCCTGGCTCCTGATTTCGAATCAGCTCAGCTCTGCTTCAGCCATTTGGGGAGTGACCTAGCAGATGGAAGGACCTTTTCTTCTCTATCTCTCCTTCTCTCTGTAAATCTAACTTTAAAATAAAAATAAATCTTAAAAAAAAAAAAGAAAAACCAGAAAACAAAACAGGTGTAACTAGTCTGGGATTTAGTTTTTAAAAGTCATTCTAGTTTGGCCCTGACCAAACGCATTTTAACCTTTTTTACATTGGAGACCATCTTCTTGGGGATTGAATTTGGTGCTTGGAATACAGAGATGCATAGTTTTGCATCTTAAGTCTACCTTTAGAGACCATGGGAGGAAAAGGATGTGGCAAAATACAGAATACATGTTGTCAAAGGGCAGATGAACTCAAACTGGTAGGAACCTCAAAGTACAGGCAGTAAGGTTTACTTTTTCTGGTAGCCAACTCAAAATCATTAGGAAAAAGGCCAACACTGTGGCATAGTGGGTTGTCTGCAATGCCAACATCTGGTTTGGGCACCAATGCAAGTCCTGGCTATCCTACCTCTAACCCAATTTCCTATTAATGGCCTGGGAAAAACAGCAGAAGATGGCCCAAGTGCTTGAGCCCCTGGGAGATCAGGATGAAACTCTTGGCTCCTGGCTTCAGCCCAGTCCAGCCATGGCTTTCGTGGTCCTCCGGAGAGCCAACTAGCAGATATGGGAGATTTCTATTTTTCCTACTCTCCCTCTCTTTAGAACTCTGATTTTCAAATAAATAAATAGATAGATAGATAGATAAATTAATAGATAAATAAATCTTTTAAAACTTATTAGGAAAGTGTGAAAAGCATTCCTTGGTTAGAAATACATTTTCTGGTTGAGGTATTAGCAAGAAAAGCTAACAGGATCTCATCATATTAATACGTCAGTGATCTGAGTGGCCTTGTCTCTGCCTTTCTCCTTGTGCTGATGTCACTCCCCTCCAGCCTGCCGTGTCCATCTGCCCAGATGACCACACCTTCCATTAACTTCCGGTGGGGAGGTTTTTGAAGTTACTGTGGAATTTGCCAACCAATGTGACTTTCAAGACCATGTTGGAAGATTGTGGAATGGATGATGAAGTAGGTGACGCCCCAGTTCCTCTACCGAATGTTAATCCAGCAATATTTAAAAAGGTTGTTCAGTGGTGACTCACTGAAGAATGACCGCTTCTCCCCGAGGATGATGAGAACAAAGAAAAGTGAACAGATGATATCCCTGTTTGGGACCAAGAATTCCTGAGAGTTGACCAAGGAACACTCTTTGAGCTTATTCTGGCTGCAAACTACTTAGACAGCAAAGGTTTGCTTGATGCTACGTGCAAGACCGTTGCCAACATGATCAAGGGAGAGACTCCTGAGTTGATCTGCAAGAGCTTCAATATAAATAATGACTTGACTGAAGCAGCAGCCCAGGTATGCGAAGAGAACCAGTGGTGTGAAGAGAAGAAAATGTTGTGCCTGACACTGTAACACTGTAAGGATTGTTCTAGATACCCGTTGCACTGCTCTCTTTATAATTGTTCATATCAGGCAAACAGCAGACAAATGCAGTAGCAACCCATTTGTTCTAGCAGAACATTGTCCTCGTAGCATGTATAATTTGAGCACAGATTACAAACCCAAGTTTCTTCTAGTATGATCAAAAGTTCCTGCTTGCTTTCCTCTGAGGAAAAAGGATCTGTGGGTTCTCCATAGAAAGTGACATTTTGGGCTTTCTCTCTTTTTGCAAAGCCATTTCTGCCTAATTTCCTTTTTTTTTTAAAAAATTTATTTATTTTTATTGGAAAGACAGATATGCAGAGAGGAAAGACAGAGGGGAAGACCTTCTGTCCAATGATTCACTTCCCAAGTGATCACAACGGCCGGTGCTATGCCAATCCGAAGCCAGGATCCAGGAATCTCCTCCAGGTCTCCCATGTGGGTTCAGGGTCCCAAGGCTTTGGGCCGTCCTCGACTGCTTTTCCAGGCCACAAGCATGGAGCTGGATGGGAAGCGAGGCTGCTGGGATTAAAATTGGCGCCCATATGAGATCCTGGTATGTTCGAGGCGAGGACTTTAGCTGTTAGGCCACCGTGCCAGGCCCTCTGTCTAGTTTCTTAACCAGGTAACTTGAGGGTACCTTTAAAAGTTGGCATTGTATTATTCAACTTTCAAGAAGTATCCTGAAAAAGAATGAAGATCTTTACTGATGAAGTGGAAACTTGAAAGAGGCTACTTGAAGTCAGTGTCCAGAGTAGGGCTGGCAGAACGCCTGCCTTCCAGTGATCAGTCAGTGCCTGTAATACTGACCCAGCTGTGTGGGACAGGCAGGATGCCTTCCAGTGGTCAGTCAGTGCCCCTGAGGCCGACCCAGCTGTTTGGAGCTGGGCTCCCTCAGTTGCATCTGAGGACTTGCTCTTATTTTCAGTCCTCTCAGCTTTGAACATGTTGCCTAGCAGTCAGTTACTACCCAGTATATGTGGGAATTTTGGGGGGTGGAGTGGAGATGTAACTAGTTTATTAGCTTTGCAAGTTAAAAAGAAAGATATTTAATTCAGGTGATATAGCATTTTCTTACAATCTGTTCCCATGTGGAGAACACTCTTCAATCTACTTGCATGTCGAAAAGAGCCTTTATCGTGAAAATACCTAGCAGAATCCAGACATCCATCATGAATGTGAAATAACTTTCAGTAAAAGTTATGATAGTGAAAAAAAAGCCAATGATCTTCAACTTGATCTACAGATTCCCATCCAAAAATAATTCCCACCAAATTCCAGGCTGGCTTTTTCTTTACTTTTGTAGAAATTTATCCTGATCTTCATATAGAAAGATAGGAGACCTAGGTTAGCTACAACAATGTTGTAAGAGAACAGCGAAACTATAGGACATCTTAGTTTCAAGACTTACTATAAAACTACAGTAATCAACGGATGTGAGAGTGGCAAAGGATAGATGTATAGACAAAAGGCATAAAACCTGAGTGTCCAGAATAACTCACCTCCATACTCCATTGATTTTTTTTTTCCTCAAAAATGCTCAGATAATTCATGGAAGAAGTATTCTTTTCAGTACTAGTTCATTGAAAAAAACAACTGAATATTCTCATGCAAAAGAATGAAACTGGACCCTGGCTTCATTTCATATTCAAAAATCAAGTTAAATAGCTCATGGTCCTAAAGGGGAAACCTGAGCTTTAGCTCAGAAGAAAACAGGTGTAAATTTCAGGCAACAGCTTCATACATATGACACCAACAGTAAGTGACAGAAGAAAAAGAGATAAATTGGGCTAATGAACTTTACCAAAACCAGAAAAAAAAAAAAAGTCTGTATTGAGAAGACCCCATCAATAGGGTAAAAAGAAATCTATAAAATGGGAGAAAATATTTATAAATCATGTATCTGATAAATAACTTGAATGCAGAACCCTCACAATTCAATAATAAAGACAATTTAACTTTAAATGGGGCAAAGGATTTGCACAGACATTGAAGAAAAACAAATGGCTAATGAGTATATGAACACTACTCAACATCACTAGAAAATGGGAAGTACTAATCAATCAGTTCAATACCACTTCACACCCACGAGGGTGGCTACAGTCAAGGATCAGCATATGCCGGCAGGAGAACACAGGACCCCAAGGTGCTAAGGAGAACAACTGGACCACCAGGGTGGAACCCATCTGCCTGATCTATGGGAGCGGCAGATAAGAGACCACCGCATGGGGGCCTGGCACAATGAGTCAGTGGCTAAATCCTCGCCTTGCAAGCACGGGAATCCCATATGGATGTCAGTGCATGTCAAAGCTGCTCCACCTGCTCCATCTGTTCAGAGTTCAGCTGGCAACTGGGGCTGACATTATAGCACCTTCATGTCCTCACCAACCAAAACAAAAACAAAAACAAAAAAGGAGTATCTTCCATTTGAAATACCAAACTGACATTTGAGGTGGAATGCTTTCAGAGGCAAAAGGAACTTAGGAAACAGTGTTACAGTTGGAAGAGATGTGGGGAATCTGTGAGGGTGACACCTGTATGCGAAGGAGGATCAGACACAGTCACGGCTCATGCCCCGTGCATGTGTTTACCGGAAGCGTGAGCTGCTCCAAGCAACCTTGCTCGAATGAGTCCCTCTCTTCTTTTGCTTCTTATTAACTTTAGCACTCCCCGAAAATCTTCCAGCCTACGGTCTAGCTCTTCTTTTAAATCATCTGAAAAATACCCAACAATGACTTACACTTCTAAACTGTAGCAATCAAAATTTAAATAACTCATCATCATTATAATTGATCCCCAACCTGACAAGAAAATTATATCCCATTATAAGGGAGAGAAAGAAAAATGATCTATCACTGAAATAAAATAGAAACATTTTTTTCCTATGGTTCTAGTGAAACACTTTTATGTGACAAGGCATTATTCAAATTTGAATATAAAAAGCCTAAGTTATAAGGCTTGGGTACATGCTTACTTTACTGATAACTGTGCTATAATTATACTATTATCAACTATAATCGAGACTCTTGTCAAGTCATTAACTATTCAATAATTAATTATATTTAATTAAACATTAATTTCAATATTAAATAACATTTCAAAAATAAATTAATTGCTAGTTTAAAACAGCAAATAACAATTAAATAATACTTAGATAAGTTATTACATTTTAGCCACATTACTAAATGTTCAATTCTGTTCATCAGTGAGAAAAGATGTTCCATCATGTTCTTAGCAACTCTAGGAAAAAAGAGGTGTATCATCCAAGTGCTGGGGGCTGACATGCTGAGAAAGGAAATGTGGGATCAGATAAGACTGATCCAGGTGCCTCGGAGGCCTAAATTCCTACATTCCGGGAATCTGCATGCAGGAACTGGGCATTCATGGAAGCTAGAACATGACAAGCGCAGCAGAAGATCAGCTCTGCTTCCTGGTCTCCAGGAAGAGTGCCAGTCCCTGGTGCGAGGTGGGCCACAGGTTTTGATGGTTTCAGTTCAGCCTAGATCCTGACAACATCTCTAGACTACAGGGTAGATGGGGGCACTACCAGCCGGGCTTTGGAGCTCATTAAGGCATTCTAGCAGCAGTTGCCACTGGCATGAAGTAGAGGGCTTGGGTTTTCCCAAAGATGGTCATTACGTCATCATGCAGTGAAGAGGGCAGGAGTGTAGGGACAGTGGGGGTGGCAGGTCAAGGCCATGCCACCTGTACAACTCCATGGGGACAAGGCTCCAGTCCCTGACTCCCATGCTCCCATGCAGAGGGAGTCCATCACAGGTTCCATTTCTGCCGCACTGCCTGTTAAGGATTTGTTGTGAAATAAAACATGGATGAATTGACCTTGAACGCCATCAGAACACAAAGTCTTTCTCTGTTTGAGACTCTGTCAAGGAGGAGAAAGGGAGGTGTTTGATCCAGCAACAGCACATTTTTGTCTTGGCCATGAGCTGTGACCCCCCCCCCTAGTATATTATGGAGGACCACCATGACACAGAACACATTATGAGCTGTTTACCCGATGGTATGGGCTGAATGTGTGTGTCCTCTTAAAATTCTTTTGTCCAAACCTGATTGCCAGCATGTTGACATTTAGAGGTACAGAACTCTCCACTCATGCACAGTAAACCACATAAAACAATTTCAAACTCACTATGTATCAATAGCTCATAGTGTGACACCTGCTTCTAGCTGCATTCAGTACTCATCTCAAATATGCATTGAATAAAACATTCAAACACCATCATGGAGAGTACCTTCAAGGCAGATTAATCTTACCAAATTCACTCATGTCATCCACCAAAATGATTTCTTCAAGGAGATGAGATGGAGAGAGATTGATAACACTGTACAATGTCCGAAACAAGGCGTTAATTTCTTCATTGTGGAAACAAATAATAATGCTTGCAGAAGGTAGATTGGCTGGATACACTTTTCGACGACACCTATGACCATAAATGAGATGATTCACTTAAAAGCCATAGGGGGGGTTGTTGGGCAGGGCGGTTAAGACAACATTTAGGATACCCAGATCCTGCATCAGACTATATAGGTTCCGCAAGTCCTAGCTCTACCCCAATTCCAAATTCCTGCTCATGTATGTCCTATAAGCATCAGGACAGGGCTTTAGTAATTGAGTCCTTGGCACCAGATGGGCACTCTGGACTGAGTTTTTGGCTCTCAGCTCCACCCTGCCCTGGCACTGGCTGCTGTGGCCATTTGTGGAATGAAGCAGCAGGTGGGAAATCTCCCTTTCAGTCTGTCTGTCAAATCAATCACGTAAGTAAATAAATAAGTAGCGGCCTGGGTTGTCTGGGGGACTCTTTCAAATACCCTATTTTTATTTTTCCTCTTTATTCCTTCAACTGAGGACTTTGTAAATAACAGTACACCCAAAAATACAAAAATGAAGATACATTTATTTAACTTATGTTGTTGTTATAATGTTTTCAAAAACACCTGTAAGTGTCCAGCACAATATTCCTGCATATTTCTGCAAAACCATATTTTCACGCTTCATGTATCAGGCTTGTGTATAGGATGGTGCACTGGCCATTCTCATCTGTCCCCATCTTTTCTTGGTTCTGTGAGCATCTGTAGTAGCCTCTGCTCCTTGGAGGGTGGTGTCTGCCTCCACTCAGCTCTCCTACCTTCCAGACAGAAACGCTGAGCAGGAAACAGCTCTGTTCTTTGCTGGCGGCTCATGGACTGCATTAATGGCAGGATAACACCCAGAATAAAAGGGATGGTGGGCCAACGTGAACAGTGCTACCTAAGTCACATCTGTAGCAATATATTCAGTCCTGCGTCTTCATCATTTTAAGAACATCAGAGGCACACTGGTCCCTTCAGTTGGATGACAGCGAAGGATACTGATACCATGTCATAGGAGGACTTTTTAGACCCCCTTCTCCTCCAAAGAACCTGGTTAGTAAGGAACTCTCTAAAATTAACTGGTAGGTATTGCTGTGGTATTTGTAAACAGGAAAAGCTTTTGGATCCAAATAAACAGTTTTGTTTTTCTTTTTTTAAAGATTTATTTTTATTATTTTTTTGTTGTAAAGGCGGATATACAGAGAGGAGAGACAGAGAGGAAGATCTTCTGTCCGATGATTCACTCCCCAAGTGAGCGCAACGGGCCGATACTATGCCGATCCGAAGCCAGGAGCCTCTTCCGGGTCTCCCACGCGGGTGCAGGTTCCCAAAGCTTTGGGCCGTCCTTGACTGCTCGACTGCTTTCCCAGGCCACAGGCAGGGAGCTGGAAGGGAAGCGGGGCTGCCGGGATTAGAACCGGCACCCATATGGGATCCCAGGCGTGCAAGGTGAGGACCTTAACCAGTTGCGCCACCGCGCTGGGCCCCAAATAAACAGTTTTTAAAGGTGAAATGATGGGTCTAACATGGTGGCCTAGCAGCTAAAGTCCTGGTCTCATATGCTAAAGTCAGGATCTCATATGGGCGCCTGGTCTAATCCCGGCAGCCCTGCTTCCCATCCAGCTCCCTTCTTGTGGCCTGGGAAAGAAGTTGAGGACAGCCCAAAGCCTTGGGACTCTGCACTCGCGTGGGAGACCTGAAAGGAAGTTCCTGGCTCCTGGCTTCAGATCGGCATAGCATCTTTGTGGTGACTTAAAAAAAACAACTGGGGGGTGATTCAGTTCTCAGAGATCCCTAGAACACAAAGTGTGCTGATAGGGAAGATGTTCTCTATGTGGTAACCATTGGACTCGTCAATTCAGATCTTGACAGGGTCTAATTCCAAGTCCTGCAAATAGTACTCTATACTACAAGACTCCTAAGAAGTTGAAATTAAAATCAGGTTAGTAACATCATACAGGAGAAGCATACATTTTATTCCTGGTGTCTGGCACTTCTCTCTTGATGCCCACGTTTCTACTGGTCATGATGTTTAATCCATAATTTGTAAATCCAAGGATGAATTCTGATTCTGAATGCATATGACTGCCATCTGCAAGGTAAAGGAATTAGAGTTGCGTAAGTAAAAACATACATCGTCACCCGGAGAGGGCAAGAGGCACAGCACTGCTGTGGCTATACTTTGTAATGAGACAGCATCATTTTCTTGGAAATGAGAGTACCCACTACTGGCAAGATTAAAGGTGAAAGCCAAAGTGTTTCGGCAAATCAAAGCACATTGTTTAGCAAAGCGTGGTCGTCGCTAGGTCTCTCACGGAAGGGTACTATTTGGTTTCCTTGGGGCATTCACGGTGGTAACAAGAAGACTTACAGAAGGTAGAGGAATGAGAGCTCAAAGTCCTCTCTCAGTGGCTGATGAGCGAGAATAAAACAAGACAATCAGGACAGCCCAGACAAATCAGCCACAATGACTGGTTGAAGTTGGGGGTCAACTTCCTGTTAGAAGATAAAAACTCTTGGGTGGAAGTAAAAGAAACTAGATACAGTCATAAAAGATAAAATTAGGAAAAAGACTTAGCAGTGAAATGATCAAAGAATCTAAGAACCAAAATATCAACCTAAGAGGCGGTGGGTGGCTAACTTCACAGTCGAAAGGAAGGGAAGAAAATTGGAAGTAATGTTTTTATTGTAAATTTATTTGTTTGAAAAAAGAAAATTATCTGAGATAGATATAGGTTATATAAACATTGTTAAAGTGATAAACCAAGTATGCCTGTTTTACTAGTCTGTGTAAATATTCACATGTAAATGTATCCTTTTATAATGTTAAAATTAAATTATTCAAAGAATATTGTCTTATACTTCCAATTATTAAATTTATACTCTATGCTTCCCTTAAAATGGCTAAGAGAGAAAATGAAAATACTTACTTGGCATAGGAAACGACCTTGGTTTTCTGATTTCAATTTCTTCCAACATCTCATCATTTTGCCTTAAGTGATACCTAATTTGCTGAGAAACATTTTTTCTAAGAGACCAAACTGATGTTGGTATCTGAATTGTCTTCTGCTTGTTGTTGTTCACATAATGGCAAAAATATATGAATATCAGAGCTCCCACTATCTCAAGTATCAAGGATGAGCGTATTAAGCACTGAGATATAATTTTTCTCATTGTAGCTCTAGCATTTCTGAGGGTCCATTTTTCAACTTTCTAAATCAGAAATAATTTAAGAGATACATCATTAGACATTTAGTGTTTGCAGATCAGCTACATAGCTTCAATCCAACTCTCACTGTTTCAAACAGCATCATTTTTTTGGTCAGTCCTTACCAAACGTAGTATATAAAGTGTATTTTGTATGATTAGAAACTGTTAAAACTGCTAATGATAAGGTTATCTAATATAAAATGTACACCATTCTATAAAGCATATAGCATGGTTTAAAGCCATTGGCCCATACTTCTGAGCACACAGTTCCAGGTCATGTGAAAGAAGGCAATCCATCTTGCAGAAATACTATATAGTCTCCAAAAATGCTAATTGGACACCAGACTGTTAAAAATGCAAAACCATGTGAAATTACACATTGGAGAAAAAGTGGGCAAGGAGATCCAGGTCTCCTGTTGATGGGACTGTAAATTGTTCAAGCCATTTTGAAAATATCTGGTGCAACTGAAGCTATATGAGAGTTACTCCAAAAGCTCATAGATGTTTTCGTCAAGATGGCATGGAAAGCAAAGAAGAAGCCTTTTGCTCCTCTCAAAGGAAAAGCAAAGGCCTTGCAGGCTGAAAGGGATTACACACACACACACACACACACACACACACACACACACACACCTCTCTATGTTACCCAACTTCTGGAGGCCCAACACATGTATGTGTACAGCTCTGCAGGCAGCTCAGATCTCTTAAGAGCACCTGCAGGAGAAATAAACTTGGCCACTAAGCAATCGAGCTCCCCTGACTGCAGAGTCTGCTAGAAAAACATGGAAGACAACATGCTCACGTTTGCTGTGGATGTCAAGGCCAATAGGTACCACTTCTAACAGGCCGTGAGGGAACTGACAAGGCCAACGGACTGATCAACTTGGCTGGATAGAAGGCATCTGTTTGGTTCCTGGTTATGATGTTTTAGATTCTGCCAACAAAATTGGGAATCAGCCAAACTTCGTCCAGCTGGCTAATTCCAAATAAATGTTTTATCACCATAAACAACTTCATAGGAAAGTGGAGTAAAAAGATGTTTATTTCTCTGCTTAGGTGAATAGAAAAGGACAGCTTAAGTCCTCAGGCCTCTGTACCCATGTGGAGACCCGGAAGAAGCTCCCGGCTCCTGGACCATTAGATACCATTTGGAAGAGAAAATAGGTTAGGAGACTTAAGCACATTTAACAGACACATGCATTTATGTAATAGGATTCTTACTAAAAAAGAATCCATATTCTCCAGAAAGATTCTATAATAGTAAACTTGAAGGGAATGTTTTTTAGATGTGAATATTTATGAAATACACCCTTTCCAGAGCTTACATGTTTTCCTGATGTAAGTTCTAATATTGCAGGGTTTTTTTTTTCCCTATATTACAACGTTTTAAAGCACAGTTCGCCCTAGGCCCCCGGCTCACCTTGCCTCACTTCCATCTCCACACACACACACACCATCTCTCCCACCAAGAGTTAGATTTGAGAGTCTGCAATCAGCTTTTGGATCTGTATCCTCAGCAAAAAATTCATGTTCAGTCATTTTTCTTGACTAAAGCATGATGACTTCACACAGAAAAAATAGACTTTATTTGCAAAACACAGCTCAAAGACAATTTGTATGTACAACGAATAAATGTTAAGTGCATTCCAGAAACCTGGGAGTTAACTAAAAGAATCCTGTGACAAAGAAAAGAACATAGCTGATTAACACAACGTACATATCCACACACACACACACACACACACACACACACACACACACACATCGCAACATAAAGGTGTGCTTCCACTCTTTGGGTTGTTTTAAAATATGAGTCTTTGGAGTGAGGAACACGTGACTGAGTCTTAGATGATGTCACAGATAATTTTTCTGTGACTAGTCATGGTTTTTAAGTCCTAACCTTTATCAGAACAGTCTTTACATGGATCTTTATTTAAGATCTATGAATTCCTGATAATACTAGGGGCCTTCTTTTCTTTCCATTGAACTTTTTTAAAAATAAAAAATACATTTATTTTGCAGAAATTCTGAAACTCACAAGGCAGGATATAATGACAGTTGGCCTGTTTTTTAGGAGCTCAGACCACTGTAGGGCTCCATCCACTTTCAGGGTGTGTAACCAACCGCTTCCTGAAAAGGAATCATCTTGGGACCCACAGTGTGGTGTAGTTAAGCTTCCTCCTGCAATGCCAACATCCCATATGGACAACAGTTTGAGTCCAACTGCTACACTTCTAATCAGGCTCCTTGTTAATAGCCTGGGAGAACAGTGAAAGACGGTGCAAGTCCGTGGACCCCTGTACTTCTGTGGGAGACCCAGACGCAGTCCCTGCCTCCTAGCTTCTGCCTGGTGCAGCCCTAACCATTGCATTTGTGGAGTGTCTCTCTGTATCTCTGTCATTCTATCATTCAAACAAATAAATAAATCCTTAAAAAGAATAAATTAAATCACACTGAAAAAAATATTCACTGTGTGATTTCATTGATAAAGCTCTACTTCTAAGGTTACAGTATTTTAGCTGCAATAATTTCCTAGTTTCCTGCCATCATTCTTATTCACTCAGCTTTAATTATGTAAGCGCTGCCTGAATACCTGCCAAAAGAATGTTACTCGGGACCAGCACCATGGCATAGCAAGGCAAACCTCTGCCTGTGGCACCAGCATCCCTTATTGGAGCTCGCTTGAGTCTTGGCTGCTCTACTTCAGATCCAGCTCCTTGCTAATGTGCTTGGGAAAGCAGGGAGAGATAGCCCAAGTGCTTGAACCCCTTATCCCATGTGGGAGACCTGGAAGAAGCTTCTGGCTCTTGGCTTTGGATCACCCAGCTCCAGCACTTGCAGCCTTTTGGGGGAGTGAACCAGTATTTGGAAAACTATCTTCCACCTCTGTGTAATTTGACTTCCAATTAAACAAAATGCATTATTTAAAAATTTAAAAAATATTAAAAACCACTTCTCAATCCCTCCCCACAGAACTAGCATCCAACCATGCCTCAGTGATTGGATGTGCTGTGTTCACTGCTGTAGGCTGTTGGGACTCTCCTTTCATGCTCCCGTTCCAGCTTTGTAAAGCACAAGGAGCCCTTCCACTTACCACTGGCTGCTGTGTAACTGATGAATTTCCTGAGCAAAGGGGTAGGCCAAGGAGGCTGACAGATGTTATGTCTGGTTGCTTTTGTTGGTGTCTGGATGGTGCCCGGCTATGCTGCACTGCTCTGCTTACCTCACAAAGCCTCATGACGTCACACAGGCTGTAGCCAGCACCAGAGGCCCCTGCATTCCAGAGCTGCCCAAATTCCAGGGCTCCTTCCAGAAAGTTCACAGCTGGGCATTAACACCTGGTTGAAGGCCAGGGCTGAGTCCCTTCTCTAAGCTAGTAATGCTTTTGAAATAGACTTAGGAAAATCAGGTCTTCATATTGCTTCAAGAAACTTTAATATGAGCCAAAGAGTTATTTATTCGTTTATCTCCTCTTTATTACTCAACATTTAGAGGCTAGTACATGAGTTGAGCCAAAAGTTCGTAAAATTTCTTCTTCTTCTTCTTCTTTTTTAACTAGAAGTCAAATATACAGAGAGGACTGAGTGAAAAACCTCCTGCCTGCTTATTCACTCCCCAAGTGGCTACAACGGCAGGAGCTGAGCTAATCTGAAGCCAGGACCCAAGAGCTTCTTCTAGATCTCTCAAGTGGGTTCAGGGTCCCAAGGTTTTGGGTCATCCTCAATTGCTTTCCCAGGCCACAAGCAGGGAGCTGGATGGGAAGCGGGGCTGTCTGGATTAGAACCAGTGCCCATATGAGATCCCAGTGCATGCTAGGTGAGCACTTTAGCTACTAGGCTATCACACCAGGCTGAAAAATTTCTTCTTTCTTAACGTGTCTGAGAAGATCTGATCTTTTTGTTTTTCAGGCGGCTCTCTGAGTGTTTTGCCTGAAATCAGACATATGTTTCAAAGGCTGTGAGAGCAAGTGGATGGCCTGGGGCATTTATAGAAGGGCCTATTCACTCCTGGAACAGATAATGATATCCAAGCGTAGCTCGGAACCTCTTCCAGGAAGGCCTGATGGGCAGGTCATTCTTTGATCTTTGATAAGAATGGTAATATTAAAAATTAGTATTTATACAAGTTAATATATTTTGGTAGATTGATTTGTATGTTTTTAAATTTTTAATATTTTTTAAAGATTCATTTTTATTGGAAAGGCAGATCAGACTTGTGGAGAAAAGGAGAGAAGAAAGATCTTCCATCTGCTAGTCCACTCCCCAAGTGGCTACAGTGGCTGGAGCTGAGCCAATCTGACCCGATCTAGAGCCAAGAGCTTCTTCTGGGTCTTCCGTGTAGGTTCAGGGTACCACAGCTTTGGGCAATCCTATATTGCTTTCCCAGGTTTCAGGCAGGGAGCTGGATAGGAAGTGGAGTACCTGGGACTCCAACCAGTGCCCATATGGGATTCTGGTACTCTGGGCAAGAGGTTGAAACCTCTGTGTCACAGAGCCAGTCTGAAAAGTAGTATCTGGTTTAGTGTCTCACATCTGCTTCCAATCCCAGCTTCTTGCCAGTACACACCCTGAGAGGCTACGAGTGATGTCTCAAGTGAGTGGATCTCTGCCACCCGCCTGGATGAAGTCCTTGGGTATCGGATTTGGTCCATCCACGTTATGGCTGTGGCTAGCATTTGGGGAGATCTCTCTGCCTCACTGCTTTTCAAATCCACCCATCCATCCATGAATAAATATATAAAAATCTGACGGAAAGAGTGGGGAGCAAATGGCGTCCTGCGAGGGAAAACGCAGACACAAAGGCTGAAAGGAATGAGCTTGGCAGGGCGGGGTCACACACAGCCTGGGCCTCATTTTTGATGAAGCTAAAGTTATTGCAGGACCTCGACCTCAATACCATCAACTCCTTCCTCTCTCCACACTTTAATAAAGCCAGGATCAAGGTGTCAATGGTGTGCTCAGCACATGAAATTATATTTTCATTGCATAAAAATGGACAAAGTGACCTAGGCCCTTAGGTTCATGTTAAGAAAATGACTCTTTTCATCAACTGTTCTTGATGTGCTTTTTCTAAAGCAGTTTCACTTCCACCTTAACACTTCCTGCTTTCTCTTGACTTCCTGTAGCACTGGCTTTCACTTTAGTTTTCTATGACTACCCTTTTTGGGGAGTCATTTCATTTTCAAGTGAAATACACACAACCAACTCTAAGATATAGCACATACCAGGGAACATAGCTGTATATGCCTCCTTTAATTCAACTAGATGTCTAATATTGGATGACATGTCAGTCTCTGCTGATTTTTTGGGTCACTCTTTTTTTTTTTTTTTTACTTTAATATAAAAGGAAAGTTTCATTAGAACCTGCGTGGGGGAAGAAATGAATGAAGACAGAATCACAAGGAGACCCTTCTAAAGTAAAACACTAAGAAAGTAGATTGCAAAAGAATGCAGTGTGATAATATGCCTTTATAAGATTTCAAGCATGCCAAATGAAGCTTACATATTATTGACAAACATGTACTTGGAAAAGTATCAAAATTCATGTGTGTATTGGGAAGGAGTAGGTGCCATGTCCATCCAGGAAGGTGGCAAGAAGCCCCTGAAACAGCCCAGGAGGCAGTCCAAGGAGGTGGATGAGAAACACAGTCCTTAAAAGCAGACACACAAAGAGTAGGAAGAACTTGAGGGGCTAAGCGAAGGCCACGGGGAAGGGTCAGTTGGCCATAGTAGAATTAGGAAATCTGGCAGGGTGCTGTTGTACGTTAAGCCACTGTGTGCAGTGCCAACGTCCCATACTTGAGTCCCAGCTGCTCCATTTCCGGTTCAACTCCCCACTGATGTGCCTGCCAAGGCCGTGGAAGTTGGCCCAAGTGTTAGGACTTCTGCATCCATGTGGAAGATTGGGTTGAAGTTCTGGCTCCTGGCTTCAGCCTAGCACAGCCCCCGCTGGCTGTGGCCATGGGGGGATGAAAGGGCTCTCCTTGTGTCTTTCCTACTCATTCTGTAACTGTGCTTTCTTCGTTGTTGTTGTTGGTGGTGGCAAAACTGGGAGCTTTCCAGGCTTTTCCCATTTTAGCAAGTGTCCTAGGTTCTTAAACATTCCTTGATGCCTCCTGGTGTGAGTGGGAACCTGTGGGGAAGATGTTCACACTGGTGGTCTCTCAATCAGTTAGGACATGGCTAAGCAGTTCCTGGTGGCATGCACTTGAAAGCGTGGCTTCAGGCCCAGTGCAATAGCCTAGAGGCTAGAGTCCTCACCTTGAATGTGCCAGGATCCCATATGGGCCCCGGTTCTAATCCTGACAGTCCCACTCCCCATCCATCTCACCTATTTCATTTCTAATGATCAGTAGTAGGCAAGAGGCAAAAAATGTTAAGACTGGCTTCTGCATGGCCTGACATTTTTATAGTTTTCTCTGGATAATTGGGGGTATGTAAACAAACAAACAAAACAATTAAAGGTCCTCTACAACTGGTAGGATTCACAGAAATGGCTTTCCTCCAACCTTTCATCCAGTCATCCTGTCTATTAAAGGTGAGTGGTGTGTTTTATTTCACAGACGGCCCACTAGAGGGGGAACTAGAACAGTTCAGCAAGCACCTGTGTACTCCGAACAGCACCACTGTGGGACGCAGTGTGGGGACAGGATCCCGCAGCCCTGCGCCTAGGCCCCTGGCCACGCCCTTCCCACCCTGTCACAGACCCGACGCCCCTGGCACACACGTTACAGGTGCGGCAATAACAGTGTTTTTCTTTAAAGAGAGTAACAGGGTGTTTGTTCGTTTGTTTTTTCAGGTTTTAAAATTCCCGAGTAAATAATACAGTAGCAAGAAGAAAGGGAGTTTAAAAAAATAATAAGCATGCGAGAGACTCGCAAGAGTCCTTGGCACCGGTGGCAGGTGATCCCATCGGCTCCTCCGGGGCGGGCGCGGAGAGGCAGGAACGGCTGCTCTCACCCCTTGGGACACCGTGAGCCGCCAAGGCGCGCTGTCGCTGGAGCCAGAGCGGCTTAGGTCTGTAATTTAAATTTACTGTCACAACCTGCACACAGTGGGTTTCACGCTTTCCCAGCAGTCTTTCTGGGAAAAGTTTCAGTGAAGAATAATTTATTCGGCAGTGTGTTCCTGAAACAGGAAGCACTTGCCCTTCCTTTCTGCCATCGCCATTTGGTGGCTTTAAAGCGGCTCGCTCCACCTTCGCAATCACAATATTGTCATCAGCAGCAAGCCGTGCTTGCTACGTGGGTGACCCTTAAAAAGTGTTAGGGGCCTGCTCCTGCGCATGCTCAATTAAGCTTCTGCCTGCAGCCGCCAAGATCCCATATGGGCTCTGGTTCTAGTCCTGGCTGCTCCATTCCCCATCCAGCTCCCTGCTTGTGGCCTGGGAAAGCAGTCAAGGACGGCCCAAAGCCTTAGGCCCGTGCACCTGTGTGGGAGACCCGGAAGAAGCTCTTGGCTTCAGATTGGCTCAGCTCTGGCCATTGTGGCAATTTGGAGAGCGAACTGCTGAGCTTGACTCCAGACCCATTACACCTCAACCACCCTACAGCAGGGACCCTTAAGCGTCATCGGTGGTGCTGACAGCTGAGAGAAACCAACTGCACCGGCAGAAATGAGGTAGAAGAAATTCGTGAGCCATCTTGCTGGCTGAAGGGTCTGGAAAGAGGGTCATGGGACTTGTGTTAGTCAGCCAGTGGCCTTCGGGGCAGAGGGGAGGACACGAAGCTCTCTGTGCTAAGGCTTCCCTCACACCACTCAAAGCCACCCAGACATGGCTTAGCTGGTGACCAGAGTCGTGGGTCCTCCTGCCCTGAGGGAGGAGGGGTAGAAGGGCAGAGAGGAGTAGAGAGGGGAGGGAAAGAGAGAAGAACTGCCTGATGGGTACAAATCACTCAGACTTGAACTTTCCAACCCAGAAGGACATAACTCTGTACCCACAGCTGTTTGACTTGGGGTCGACCCCGGGTCTACTCTGAGTTCCAGGATGTGGAACAAAGGGCCTCCTCACTTCAACTTTTATCATAGTTAGAAATCATGGCGCCCTGGAGTTCTCGGAAAAGGCCTACCTAGTGCCCCAGGCGCTGGCAGAGAACTTCCAGGACCCAAGAACTGACTTATCCCTTAATCCACCTAGTGCCCAGGCATTAGGAGGGACAGTGTCTAGCTACCTTGAATGTCCAACTTCCTGCTGCCGCTGGGGGTGGGGGTAGGTGGGATGGGGAATGAGG